AGAGACACCGTTGCTCCTGAGTACTTTAGAGAGGTCCCTAACAGCAGACTTTCCCATTGCGATACGCTTTTTGATTTCCTGACTGCTGGTGCCAAACTTTGAAAGTGGATGGTTGCACAACACTGTGAACGTAATCAATGTTACTAAATTGTACATTCAAAATGGTCAAAACAGCAAATTGTTATATATAATTCACCACAATAAAATTTATAAAGTATTGTTTTTAAGAATTTTAGTTGTTAAAAAAATTTTTTGGTTGTTGAAAATATACCAACTCAGTAGTTTCTACATGCAGTGACATTAATTATATTGTACAAGTTGCACACAAAAGAATCTTTTTTAAATTAACTGTTTAAGACACAATATTAAATTAAAATTTATATGTCTATGTTACCTATTATTACAAATGTGTGAAAAATATATGTGGATTTAGACTGATTAGAAAGAAAGAAGCAAATTAAAACAGTTGTTATTGTAACACGGGATTATGTGTAATTCTACTTTTTAAAAGATTTTCTGTGATGTGTTTACACTGCTTAATGTGAGCCCTGCAGAAGATATGATCTCCATGCAGCAGTAGATGCTAATTGTGCCTTAATAGCCATTATTCTTTTATAACAATAAAATTTAAATTGTATACACCCACCTAAAATAAGAGTGCCTTTCGCATTCTCCTTTGCAAGTGGTGTTACAGTGGATTACAAAGAATGTAAAATGGAAAATGAGTTCTCTTAAAGGTAAAAGAATGTATCCTTCCTTTGTCCTTTTCCTCCATTCTGCTACATGAAATGTTATTTAGCTCTGTTATTGCATGTACTCTGGGTGGACTGAATTTTATATGCATCTGATTGGATGAGGGACTGCTTCCCAATTTAATAAATAAATATGTGTGATTCATGAAGAGAAGTACGTGTTTTTATATTCAACTAGTGTTGAGCACAAGCACTGAAAACGATGAGATTATTCATCCTTCTTGGATATCAAATAAAGATACATTAATATTAAAGAGTGCACATTTATGTTAAATACAGTCTAGTGGGAATCATACACATTTACTCCAATATTCTTTACCCTTTATGAGAATATTTTAGCAGTGGATGCGATTCTTTTATAGGCTGCTTTGACTGAGATAAAGCAGCAATCACGCTACATATTTTAAATGTTAAACAAAATGGATAATTGTATTTTTAAAGCTCAATAAATAATAGCATTTGGTTTAATTACCACAGCCTCTGGTAAGGTTTGATATGGTCTAATAACCTGGATCACACGCAAAAGAATCAATAATTTGCACTGTATCAGTAATAAGAATTTACCAATTCAAAATGAAATTGATAACTATTATTCAAAGCAGCCTTTCTACTTGAAAAATATCCAAAGTACAACATTAAAGCAGATGCAACATTCTGCCTCAGGTGCTTACAATGCTCAATAATGATTAGGTATGCTATGCCATTTCTTACCATAGCAACAAATTCATTATTATTTTTATTATAATTCAGAATAGGTCATTCACAAGCTGTTCCTACTGTAGCAGCAAACTCATTATTATTTTTATTATAATTCAGAAAAGGTCATTCACAAGCTGTTCTATAAAAACAACATGCAACTGAAAAACCAGACACTGGAGGCTGACTGAAGAGAAACGTTTTATGTTACGAATTTATGCTGAGCATAGACGTTCATACATGTTTTTAAAAGTGGAAGAAAATAAAAATTGAAAAAAAGTTCCAGGGGCTGATTTGCTCATTATTTTCTGAACAAAACTGTATCTGACCAGTTTGAGGGCACCTTATTGAATAATTTATTCAAATAAAAATTCTGTCAGTAGAAAATATGTGCACTTCTGGTCATATAATAAAAATGTCTTTGAAATTTGTTTCACATTTGGATATAAAAGCATACTGAGGATTTTTTAAAATATTTGGTTTTCTGAACATTTGATGACAGATAAATAGATTGCTAAGAAACTTGGCAATCTGTCAATTAGCTATGCCTTAGGATCAAACAGACTTATCATAATATGAGGCTTGAGACCAGGCATATAATTCCTCTTCTTCTCTTCCCCATTCTTCATCTGGTGTGGCTTGCCGGACTTTCACAATGTCAAAAGATGGTGTGGAGAAGATGATTTCTTGTTTCTTTACACGTGGACTCTTTTTTGGTTCCTGTGGAGAATTAAAAAAATGTAAGTCAACTGGCTTTTATATTTGGTTATTACTACCATCATATTTTTATGTTTGACTGTTTATGCTTATTACCTTCATCAAAAAAATTTCTAACATATTTTTAGAACAAAGCAATGCAATATATGTCATTGCAAATATTTCTGAAATGCATATGGAGGTATAGTTTACATAGTACAGTATTTTATAAATTTAGTTAGAAATTACCACCATTTTGAAAAATGTGCGATCAGAGAAGTGCTGAATTAATAATGTCAACACAGAGATTTTTCTCCCCTAAATCATGTTAATGTGGAGCTAAAACAGCTGTTATTTATCACATTAATAATATTTTTTAAGAATTTTAAAAATGTGTCATCAAGGCCAGAGTCGCTTTATATTCACTCATTCATGCTCTCTCTCTCCCTCTCCCTCCCCTTCTCCCCCTCTCTCCATCCCCCTCTCTCTCATTGCTATAGGGAGCTCAGGTGGCCTAATGGTAAGAAGTTGCACTGCAATCCCTAAAGCATGCAAATCCATGGGAGAAGGATGGGCAATCTTGTCCTGTGCAATTTACTGTCTCTGAAAACCCACTGGAGGGTCAGATATGGTTGGTTCCCACTTGATGGCATATAACAACAGCAACCACTCATTGCGATGGAGTCAGAACCAACATATAGCTGATAATGGGTTTCCAAATTTGAACTGTCAGAGAAACCTGGTTTTTGGGTTAGTAGCACATTTTCCTATGGAGTAGGCCACAAGAGCTCACTAGATTTATACTATCTAAGGTGTATACTGAAAGTACTTAATTTTTAAATTTATAGACTAGGAAAATTCTGCTTAGGGAAGTAGGGCTGCTCAGCAATTGTGCTTACAAGGAGTTTGAGTATTTTTAAATTGTTTTGGAAAAGTGTTTTAAATTGGTCTTGGTGCAATCATTCATACTATTATTACTGTGATTTGAGTAAGAGTTTACCAGGCATACTGGGTTTTTTCATTCAACCACTCATACACATTTTGCTTTCTTTCTAAAACAATGAACTCAGGATCTTACTGGAGGAGCATTTTCCTCTTTATGTGCCTTATACGCCTTTCTCATTTTTTCAACTTTCATTTGAGCTTGTTTGGATCGACGACCCAGATGTTTCACCTCACTCTGTTTTCTATATGGCTGTAGATATGTAGGTTTGATGCTTAATGATGGTGAAGGAAATCTAGAACATATTTGTATAACAGGCAGAAAAAAGCATACAAAGTAAAATTTAAATAAAAGGCAAGTCTATATCTTATTAAAACATTCTTGAACAAATATATACTAGATCTCAATGCTTGGAACACCACACTTCAACTTTTATGCTTGACTTACTTATTATAGTTATAAAGGTATAGATCTGATACTGTTGACAGTAATGATGATGAAAATTATAGAACTTTATATCAATTTTCAAGATCTGCTTTCCTAGAAAATAGTATGTAATAGCCATTTGAATATTCCCCCTCTTTTTCACTATATACTAACAAAAGTATTTCAATTTCATATTGGCTGAAAAACAAGCTGTTTTTCCCTGTGTTGGGATCAGACAAAACTGGCACCATGCTCACATCTCCTTGGCCTAACCAGTGCAATGTTCATAGGCCCAACTTTCAACTGTTAGCATTTGCATCACTCAGCCTGAGAGTTTTCTTTCAAAACAAAAGCCTATGTGCAGGGAAGGCCAAAAGTGCCTTACAAAGCCTGCCTTCTTTTCTAAGCAACCTTTCACCAATGATTGCTGGGGTTGGTATATTATTACCCCGAACCCCTTGCCCACTGTGGCATAATTCTGAGTTGTGTGTTCTACATTGGTGCAAGAATCTCCCAGAGGGATCAACCTCCCACAGAGTGGTAACTTGTTTTCCTTTTCTATTCTATTTCTGCACCTGCTCTTCAGACCCCAACCCAATGTTTCCTAGGATTATCTCCCAAATAAATACTCAAATCTGTGCTCTCGAGTTTGTTTCAGGGGGATCCCAAAATAAGACTGCATTAAAGGAAGCTTTTATGAAAGAACTTTTTCTCTTTCCCATTGATTTCTAATCTGGCTACTCGTTTGGCTCTTAAGTGATTCATTCTTAGATAATCAGTAGCATGAATCCAAGTTGTAGTGAGCCTGGGTTTATAGATGGCAGTAGGGAAAATTACATCACTTATTTGACCTATTGGTAACAGTGTCAAATTATATATGCAGTTCTTATATGATGAGTAAGAGAAAATCTATTTTATGATGACAGACTGTACTCTAAGCCAGGCCATCTGCCTGGCAAATATATAGCCTTGATCATAAAATAAATGAGCTAAATTATGTTACTGGGTCAGTGTCACTCATCTCTACTCTAGGATAAAAAGAAAAGCAGTGTGTTTGTATGACAGTGGGTCATCAGTGTCCTCTTCATGGACTAAAGGAACATTTTTCATTGCAAATATGAGTGCATGAAAATAGATTATCAACAGATCTTCTTTAGCCTTATTATCTCTTTTTCATAAGAAAGAAAGCTTTAATTTGCAAATCTGATGGGCTAGATGAGACTTGGCAATGGAGAAAAGGGAATATAATTGGAAGAATCATCTTCTGTCCATGTTGTTTCAGATCATAATACAACCAGTTTTGCTACAATGCACATTTCTATAATGTAAACTGGCTCATATGTTATTGGTAAAGAAGGGAATAATGCCAATGTCATTCATATGCAATTTATCCTCAGCAACGGGAGCCAGAATAACAAGAGCAGAACCTTCAGCATAAAAGGAAAAAGTCCTCAGCTCCATGCTGCATGGGCAATGCATGACTATACTACTTATGAAAAGAAAACCCAGTACACGCACTCAGAGAGGCACAAGCCTCCATCCTTCCTTATCTCACTCTACTCCCTCACCTTGGGTGGCTCTTGGTCCATCAAAGACAATCATACTGACCCAGGGCTTTATTTTCATCTGTCTCAGTGTCCACTACCAGCTTTAACTAAAGAGGTACCAGTATTTCTACTCTATTGTTGCTTTTGTTTTTTAAATATTTGCTGGAGCAGCCTCCTTATTTATATTTTCTGTGGCTGCTTGTCTTATGGCCTAGGCTAGCTCCTCTTTGTTAAGCTATGTAAGTTGTGAGCAGTCTGTCTCAACCCTATTTCCCCCATATGCCTTATTATCTTTAGTAAGCTATTTGGCAGAGAGTATTTTTAGCAATGCCATCAGCAATGTAAACTTCACAAAGAATCACTTTTACCTAACTTCAGAAATAATTCGTAGCTGGTGCTGACGCATCTCCTCTGTTTTTGGTCTCTGTGATAGATACCTCATTTCTTTTTGTAAACGGTCTGAGATTGTCCCAGACTCTGAATAATCAACTATGTCATATATCATCATTGTCCTGGGAAGGTTTTGGAGGGTTAATCTTCTCCATTGGTTATTTCTGCCACCAGAATATGCAGGAATCTCATCCATCAGGCTGGTATACTGTACAGAAAAAAAAACACAATTTAAATGATTGCCTGTGGTACTCTAGACATATTCCCCAAGATTCCACGCAAATGTGACTTAATATATAAAGCATTCTGTGATCCTATCTTTGAGCTTTGTTGGTTTCTCTCTTCGATGACTCTTAGTAACTACTCAATGTTTTAGTTATCTATGCATGTTGCATTTCCCCTTCTTCCTGCCTCTGAATGTCACATAGCATCATGAACATAATACAACATTTACTTAGTATTTTAAAATACATAAACATTTTTATAGCAAATATAATAAAAACTTAAACCAAACTCACTGTCATTGAGTATACACCAACTTATAGTAACCCTGCAGGACAAGGCAGAACTGCCTCATATGTTTTCCAAGGATGTACATTTTTACAAAACCAGATGGCCACATCTTTCTCTAACAGAGTAGCTAGTATGTTCAAACTGCTCGCCTTTTGGTTAGCAGCTGAGTACTTAATGGCAAATATAAGTGACATAAGTTATATTCAAGATGAGTCTGAAGTGCTTGTTCATGGCACGCTTGGGTTGAGAAGGCATTTGCAGGAGTGTTTTCATCTAGGGTGGTAAGCGGCAAAGTTCATGACTTTTGTTTGGAAAATTTGTAGAAATCCCATTTTCCCCTCATTTAAAATCCTATCAAATTAGGAATTAAAAAGTACGTATCTATATAATCAATTGTAGTTGTTGGAACAGACCCATGGTTGACCCTCTGGAGGGTTTTCAGAGGCAGTTAATTGTTCTGGAGGAGATTGACCGTCCTTCTCCTGAGGAGCAGCTGGTGGCCTCAAATCACGTACCTGTGGGATTGCAGCACAGCTTTTTGCCACTTTGCCACCAGAGCTCCTTATGTAATCAATTAAACACTATAAATGTTTGCTTAAGATATAAGAACATGAGAGGCTACAATGCTAAGAAATGAAGTAATAGCTTGGTATTTAGTGCAGACAGTACACAAACACAAACACAGTCCTTGCTTTGCACCATTTTGGCATACACATATTTCAATTACCACCATTTAGTCAAACAATGGAGGGAGCCCTAGTAATGCAACAGTTAAACACTTGGCTGCTAATGGAAAAGTTGGCAGTCAAAGCCTGAGGTAGTTCCATGGGAGAAAAGACATGATCACCTGCTTCTATAAAGATTCTTACTCAGACATTGGTGTCATGTCAGAACTGACTCAGAACTGACCCTCCTGTGGGTTTTCAGAGGATATAAATGGCATGGGAAAAGACTGTCCAACTTTCTCCCATGGACTTGCTGGTGGATTTGAACTATCGCCTTTGGTTTAAAAGAGTAACTCCATGTAGACTAAGCCAAATACAACCTAGGAAATACAGGGAAGTTCTACTCTGTCCTATAGAGTTGTTAGGTGCAAGAATCAACTTGAAAACAGTCAAATAATACTGGTCCTCCAATAATATGGTTCAAATTTCAGTTATCATGGGATATTAACTGAAATTACATAAAGTACTAACTCTGTGGCTAACTCTTCACTCTAGAAATTACTCGGTAAATACCAGACACATGTCATAATTAGTGACAAATTATGTTACTCTTTCAAAGTGTCAGTGATTGGCCATTGAGCATCTGCTACTTGGTTGACATACAGATAGCCAAGCACCCAGTTGAGTTGCTTCCTTGCCTTCCAGAGTTAAACCCACAAGGCATTTACAAAAACAGGTTATCAATGGAGAAAACTGGAAACATATGAGACCACAAAAATGTTGATATTGGCATCATATAAAAAACTGTAACACTGCCTAAAGTGAATGGAAGAAATGATGATGTAAAATAGCGGAATAGAGATTTCAAGGAGTTACTAAAAAGGACAAAGTGGTATAATAAAATATACAAATACTTGTAACATTTTAACCGAAAGGGAAAAATAGCTCTTATTTCTTTGGAAGTTAAACCTAGTAGTGGGATTGAGAGATCAAATGATTTTTCTAATTTTTAAGACAGTACTGAATGGCTTTCCATATTGTTTATACCATTTTACTGTCCCTCTTACCGTGTAGGAGCTACACTACTGGTGGGGCAATCTTTCCACAACCTTGTCAACATTTCTTGTTTGCTGTCTTACTGAATTTTCCTTTTGTTTTTGGGGTGAGATTAGATGCTATCATTGTTTTGATATGCATTTTCCCCCCCAAGAACAACTCTCTTAAGACTTTAAAAATGTGAAGATTTTGTACAATTAAAAAAAATGACTATAGCATGTTTAAGCAGCCAGAGAAAGTTGATGAAGGTGAATTCATCAACATAAATGAGGAAAGAAGCTGTGATGAAAAGGATGAGGCTGTCCCAGAGGTAGTGACGCCAGCAAAAAAGCTTACACATTAAAGGAACTAACATATATTTCACATTTAAAGTGCAAAGTAGAAAATGTTGGAAGCTGATCCAAATTTACAAAAGAGGATGATAATCCATCAAGCCATAGAAAAACGAATGCTCTATTATTATAAGTTCTATGACGAGGTGAAGTAGGCAAGTACTATTCAAACTACATGTTCTTCTCTCATTTTTTTCAGCTTGGGTCTTTGTTTGTTACGTCTTTAAAATACAGAACTATTTTTTAAAAAAATATAAGACTACTTTTGATAAGTTGAGGAATTTTAACAGATTTACTGAGATTCACACATCACATAAATCACTCATTTAAACTATACAATTCACTGATTTTTGGTATATTCAAAGCCGCTAATTTTTTTAAAAAGACACTTTAATTCTCAGTGTTTTAAATTACAGTGTGCTAAATATAAATTTTCTTTTTTTCCCATTTTTCTATGCATTTGTAAAACAGTAAGAGTTTTAAATCCTTTCACAAAGGGTTAAAAAGGTCATGAAACAGTTATAATTTTCCCTACTGATTATGAGGCTCACTTTGAATGGTTTCAGATTGCATCTTAATTTTCATGGTCATGCACTGGTACTAAATTATTTCATGTAAAACACAGAAGCAACTGCGTGAATAGTTATAGCCATGCATGATTATTATGAGCTACAATATTGGGGTCCCTTGTATCTTTACAGGGATCTCTAGTGGCATACTGGGCTATATGCTGGGCTGCTAATCAAAAGGTCAGCTGTTTGAACTCATCAGCCACTGTGAAGGAGAAAGATGAGGCAGTCTGCTCCAGTGAAGCTTTATAGTCTTGCTTGGAAACCCCAGAGGGTCACCTTGAGTTGAAATGAACTTAATAGCAGTGGGTTTGGTTTTTCTTTTTTAAGAACTTGAAAATTAAAAAAAGAAAAAACCAAAACAACACCTTGAAAATTGGCAATAATAACAGTATGTACCTGCCAGGGTTGTTCTGAAAATAAAAGGCTGGTGTTACACATCATTTGCTATCCTTATTATTCAAGTATAAAGTTTAAGTTGCCTTGCTATCCATCCAGTTATGCACACCAGAAACCAAACTGCCATGGTGAAAACGTTCTTTAACTTGCCTCCCAACCTTCCACCAAAGCTCATTGCTTTTATTCTTGAATTATCTTTTGTGTTTTCCAACCTCATAGCCTTAACCTAACCTACTAATATTCTCCTTGAATATTTCAGAAGCCTCCAAGTTAGTAGAGAGAGGTTTCTTGCTGCTTTCTAATTCATTCTCTACATTTCAGTAGGAGGAGTAACCTTTCATTAGACTCTCATTTGCCAAGTCAGAACCAACTCTTAGTAAGAGTCTTACTGACATCAGAGCAAACTCCTTGCTGACCCTCCAGTGGGTTTCCGAGGCTTCCAATTATCTGGGAGGAGACTGACCATCTTTCCCCTTCAAAGCAGCTGGTGCACTGAACTGCCACAGAACCAAAGATTTTGGGTTAGCTGCACAACTTTCTGCAGAAACATTGTACTGGCTTCTTACTGCATACAAAAAAGAAAAAACCCAACACCTTAATCCAATCCACTGCCATCAAGCCAATTCCGACCCGTTTCAATCCTGAAGGACAGAGTACAACAGCCAATAGGGCTTCCAAGGCTATAAATCTTTACGGAAGCAGGCTACATCATCTTTCTCCCACTGGCTAATGAATGTGAACCACCAACCTTCTGGTTAGCAAATGGTGGTCTAAAAGAAGCCCTGGTGGTATAGTAGATTAAGCACTGGTTGACTAACCAAAATGTTGGTGTTTAAATTCAATGTTCACTTGGTAGGAGAAACATGATACAGCCTACTCCTCTAAAGATTTACAGCCGTGGAAACTATGGGGCAGTTCAACTCAATTCTGTAAGGTTGCTATGTTCCAAGATCAGCTGATTGGGAGAGGGTGTGACTAAGGACATGATGGATCTCTTACCACCCCTTCCACATGACTGCATACCACACTTCTCTGTGCTTTTACTTTTCTAGCTCCACAAACCTGCTTGTAGGCCCTGGCATCTCTTCCTGCCACAGAGTCTTTGCCTGGAGTCCTCTACATGTTCACCCCTAAATTACAACTCAGTGAGCAATGCCTCAGGGAGGCTGTAACACACACTGTTGACTGCCCAATGGTCACTCTCTACTTCTCCTCTGCTTACGGAACCCTGATTTCCCCCCAAGTATACTCAGAGAAGAAGAGTAGATGAGCCATGAATCATGATGTTTCTAAGTCAATTTTGAGAAGTGACCCTGTTTCCCTTTATTAAAAACCTACCTACCATCGTTGAGTCAATGGTGACCCTCCATAGTGCTTCTGAGGTGGTAACCAGAGATAACGGTTTCATCTTTATTCTGAGGAATGGATGGTGAATTTGAACCAATCACCTTTAAGTTAGCAGCCCACCACATAATCCACTATGCCATTAGGGCTCCTTTTCTCTTTATTAGTGATTAGTTTATTATGACCCAGTCCTAGCTAATAAGAAAGAAGTCTGTTGAGGGCTTGTGGGGACGATTTTTCTTACTGCTTTTGGACTGTAGTTGTATAAGGATCTTATAAGATCTCTTCTAATCCAAGAGAACTGCAGAGAAGCCCAGAACCCTGCTGTCT